CGCCTTGGAGAGCGCTGCGCCGCGTGCGCGCCTCCGCGGGCTCCCAGGGCGTGCAGAGCTCGCGTGCGGACCGGGTGTGCCCTTCGTGTGGAGCGGGGAGCGAGAAGGTGCTCGCGCGGGGGCGGGCGCAGGCCTGCGCGGCGGCCCCTGCCCTCCCTGCGGCCGCGGGTGTGGTGTGAACCGCAGCTGCACCCGGCTGCCTGCAGACGCAGCCTGGGCGGGCCGTTCGCCTGGCCCCACGTGAGCATTTTAACCTGCCTCCTGCCCGCTGTCATCGGGCCCGCCCCTCCGCCTCCCTGTCGCCCCCCCCCACCTGTAGTCCACTAACTTAGCCAGGGGGCTGATACCTGTGTCTCACACCTCCTTTTTCCTTCGGCTTCTTGCATTCTCATCTTTCATGGGAAAAGAGTGGGTCAGCAGAAAATACGCTAAAGTCATGGCTGAGCCCTTTCTCTGTGCTGTTCTAGTGGACCATCCATCACAATAACAAGTGATCATTATTGAATTTGAACCAGTGTAGGATTTTTATAAGAAAGGGCAGCATTTATTTAGATAAAAAAAAATGAAGAGGTAAGGGTCTACTGTCATTTGTCCAATTCCTGTTAGCTTGAAGAAAATAAAAACGTTGACAGGAATGCAGTGTGCTCATTCTCCCTAGCTAGCAAATCCCGATGTATGCCACGCTGTTCTCTTGTTCTGTCTTTTTAAATGTTCATGTAGAAAACTACATTGAGGATCTATAGGAATAGCTGTAGAGGAACAAGTGTGCTTCTTGTAAAAAGGCAGACAGGTATGTGATGATGTTTTTAATATTTCAGAAGCCTAACTTTTTAAACAGCAGTTGCATTTCACTAAGTTGATACTTGGCTGCTGGGGTAGCAGGTTTCTAAAATACACATGTCGTGTATGGAAGTTCAGGGCTGCTTGGCTAGCATCTCATCTTCCATTCTGATCATATGGCAAGAAAGGGAGATTTCAAAATCATATTTCTTGATGGTAACTTTTCGATTAATACATCTGTAAAACTTTTTTTGGTAAATATTACGTGTTCTGATGTGTCTGAGGATTCAAAACAAAATGGTCCCTGCATTTCCTGACAACTAAGCATCTGAGGAAGAAATGGGAAATGCAGAAATAGGTTTTGTCTAGTTGCATATGATCTTTGCTCTTTCTAAGCTCTGTGAGCTCTGAGATATATCTTTGGGTTACTTCAGTGTGTTTGACGAGACAGCTTGATATTTCTATCAAACAAATGACTTTCATATTGCAACAAATCTTTGTAAGAACCACTCAAGATTCTCTGAAAAAGGGGGGAAAAGGGTGAGAATAATTTTACATAAAATTCCAGCTTCTTCCCCCCTCCCCAGTACTGAGAATCTTACACTTGCTAGGCACTTAAGCCACTGAGCTATATCCCGGCCCTGATCCCCCCAACACACACCCCAGGGATCAAACTCAGGACATTGAGCTATCTCCCCAGCCCTTGTTTGGTTTTTGAGAGAGTCGTACAGTATTATCCAGGTTGGTCTTGAAGTGATCCTCCCACCTCAAGGAATGGCACTTTTGTACCCACTAGAAATAGAGGGCAGTGACTGCTATCCCACACCACAGTCTTGGGCTCGTTCATCATTGTATTCCATAGTGATTGCGCTGTGCTGAGTCCCCAGCTGTGTTTGGCTGCTGAGCACTTGAGATGACGCTTGTGGTGAATTTCAATGACCTTTAAGTTTGGCCCATTTACAGTGAAATAGACACATTGGAAGAGTAACTTCAGAACAGGGCGCAGTGGGAAAGAGCTCAATATGAGAGAGGGGGATGCAGCCTATTGCTAGGGCTACATATTTCTATGAAATTATTAAAGTCTCTGGTGGTAATAATTGGCATTCTTTTTATGTTTTGTTTTCTTTTTTGGCTACTTTTGAAGAGTTGTTTTCTCTGATTTTAGAAATTATTTTTGGCTCTAGTTTTTAAATTACTTTTGACTGGACTTCGTCCAGCAAGGCTCTAGAGAGAGCACGTGATGTTAGCTTGCGTCCCTGGGGTAGGGCCAGCTGAGGCATGTGGGCAGTGCTGCTCTCCGCTTCTGCCCCTCTTCCCAGCAGAGCATGGTTCCCAGCACCCCAGCTTCTGCACCTGCTGAGGGTGCAGCACCAGCTGCCCTCACCCTTGCAGAACCCACAGTGAAGTGACACAATACTGAAAAGGTTAAAGTTTCAGCTAAAAAAGGTTAAACTATTTCCCATCCTCTTCCCTGGACAGGTATACCTTAAGGAAAAGAGTCCTGGAATAATTCCTGGTCTCAGAGTGCTATGCCAGGGCGTGGCAGTACTGAGCACTCTGTCTGGTCCCCAGGCCATGCTGTCTGCCCACTCACCTTCTCCTCCACTGTAGGGAGCATTGCAACCATTGGGCACGCGAGCCCTGAAGTCTATGCCGCCCACTCCCACTGCTTCTGGGAGCTGCTGTCTCAGCCCTCAGTCTGGCTGAGCCAGAAGCAGAGGATGCTTGGTGCCCAGGCAAGGTGTTTAGGCCCAGTGAGCGTGTCCGCTGGGGTCACCACCCTGCTTTCACGGGCAGCACAGAGCCAGGAGAGTCAGGGAAGTTCTGGTGGTGGAGGAAGGTAAGCACACTGGAACCACCTTGAGGCAGCCTGACACGGTTCTGCAGATAAATGTCAGGGCTTTCGCTTCCTGTTCTCATTGCCTGTACCTTTCCGTGGGTTTCCACTTCACCATTTATGCTCCCACCCACCCAGCACCCCTGCCCTGTGCTCCACCAGTACATCTGTCCTGCAGCAGCCACGCCCTGTCATTGCCCTTGACAGCAGGTGGCAGTGGGACCATGTGGATGGAGGCAGGAAGACAGCCCTGTGAACTGACACTCCCTGTCTTGTGTGCTTCTCTGTAATATTTATCTCTAAGACTTACTGAGACCCCTTTTTGTTGGCGTTCAGCCTCTTCTGCTGTCAGAACATAACCCTGTAAGGGCGGAGATTTTCACACTGACTCCAGCACTGAGCCCAGTGTGGGAGATGTGTCCCTTGAAGGAAGCTGGTGGGAGCAGGGGACGGGTGGCGCGAGTCCTTGAGCTCGCAGTGAGTGCGCGGCACATTTGCCGGCCTGGGGGTCCTAGCGAGTGTGCGGTCTTTTTCCTAACAGTCTTGTGGGAGATTAACCTGAGTGAATTAGAGGAGAAGGATGTTGATGAGCTCAGCTCCAGCGGCTTGCGGTGCCCGACGTGCTTTGCTGTAAGGGGAAGACAATGCGACACCGAGCTGAAATGGTGTGCAACAGATAAGCTCAAGTGTTTCGAGTTCTCCGGCATCATAAGAACAGGTACCACCTCAGGGGCAGCGTGCCATAGGTGCAGACTAAGCAGCACCCTCTCGCAAGCTTTGCTGCCTGTATTTCAAGGCTAGGGTTGAGACTGGCTTTTGTCCAAATCTCTGAGGAACAAGAACGCAGCAGTGCCGTGACTCTGAAAAGACGTCCAGGTGGCCTTTTCCCGTTCGCTCGCGCACTCAGGGACTTGTACACACATTGACTGACGACTCCCTGCTTGCCTCGGTGCCGGCTGTGCACACGCGCGAAGCCTTCTCCCCTGCACACTTTGCTTAGTTTAGTTAACAGGAAATTTTCAGGTTTTCTTCACATGTGCTCTCCAGGTTTTTAAATGGTTTGAAGAGAAGCAATGACTAATCTTAAATTTTTCTTCGGAGGAATCATAAAGTTGAATATACTGTGCTCTTCCTAAGAAAATCCAAAGCATAACCCTAACTGAATAGAGGAGGTAGCTGGAAGTGAGTTAGGAGTGTAGTGTGGACCAGCAAGATAAGCTCGGGTCCTGAGCATGTGGCTGTCCCCACAGCCCTTCCTGCTGTCCCCCTTCCTCTTTTTTTTTTTTCTTAGCTTTAACACTGGCCTTTTTATTTGCTTATCATTTCTTTTTAATTTTTTAAAAAGGGAGTACAATTAGAATTAAAACAGGAGAAAAGCACAGGTGATACAGAATTTCACTTAACCACATTATATGAACTTCACAGTATTTATTGTAATACACCAAAGTAGTGCAGCTTCTCGAGGTGGCTGGCCCGTGGATTTGTTTTTTTTTTACTTGAGGGATTCTTTGCTTTATGGTAGCAATCACTTGCTACTGCTGAGATAAAATCACCCAGAGCAGTGTCTGCTGTGTGCCAGCGTGCCTGCGGAGGCCTTGGACGGGCCGAGATCGCGGCAAGCAGAGCTTTTATGGCCGTTGCTGTTCATTAACAGATGATTCAGACTGACAGATTAGGTTTGTTCCCTTAAAGTTACCAAGCATACATAACTAGAACCCGGACGCACAGTGCCTGGAATCCCGCGGTGTGCAGGCCGCCCCGACAGCCTGCAGCGCATGCTCCCGGCGCAGAATGTCCGTAGGAGCATGTGCTCGGTCCACAGCGGCAGTGAGTTGGCGGAAGCTCAGTTAAAGTCGAGTGTAGAAAGTACATCTGTACTTCACTGACGTGGGCTGTGAGGGGGCCGGGGGCTGGGGAGAGCCGTCGCTCTTCTGTGGGTGATGCGATCCTGACCAGTGTGGGGGCCGAAGGGGAAAAGGGCAAGGACGGAGGGTCGCAGTCTCACGTGTGAGGTCTCCCGCAGGCATCACCAACATCTCCATCGAAATGAAGAAGTGCATCCGAGCGGAGCTCTGCGGAGAGTCGCTCACTTCCTATCTGGGCTTCCCAATCACTAACGTGACCCGGAAGTGCGCCCCAGCTCTCAGGAGTGGGGCCGGGCCGTGGCCTCCACCTCGCCTCTTCTTCTTTCTCTTCCTGGGGGAGCTGCTGCACTGAGCAGGCAAGGGCCCAGCCGCTGCTGTTTATGAATTAAAGTTATTTTTGTGTTTCTGCGAGCTTTTGTGACTGCTGATTTCTCCAGGCTTAGTCAGCCGTTCGTTCATTTGCCCACCCGGCAAGGGTTGCCTGTGTGCCCCGCTGTGGGTGAGCTGCGGCAGGCGGAGGCCTGCGTGTGAGGTTTCTGAGCGCTTAGAGTAGAGTCTGCTCCAGCCGCCCAACAGCAGGACAAGCCAGGAGGGGCAAGCAGGATTCGGTTGGGAAAAGGGTGAGATGTTAAATGAACTTTGAGCCGGGCTGCAGGGGGGCCTGGAAGGCTGCAGCTGAGGTCAGCAGGCGTGGAGGAAGGAAAGGCGCCTGCCCAGAAGCATCCTTGTAGGGGTGGTGGAGGGTGGTGCCCACCTGCGAATACTGTGGGCTCTGGAGCCTACTCTGGCCTGCTGTGCGGTGACAGCAGTGCCCTTGGCGATGGGCCCCGTGGAGATGGCTCTGAAGGCCCACGTCTCTCGGGCTCATCTCGGGCTGTTCTTTCTGTCCCAGGAAGCCTGCGGGTCTGTGCTCACAGCAGCCAGCCGCTGTCTGAGGCAAACCAGCTGATCTGGTGAAGCATGGCGGGCTGCCACCAGCTGCCTTTTGTCTTGTCTGCTTTAAGTGCTTCTCCAGGTCCAGAGTGATTCTTAATTTCAGCTGTTGCTTACAAAAATAAGTGATGTGTGAGAAAAAGACCAAAGTGGTCATTGTGCATGAAGGGAAAACCCCCCCCCCCCCCCCCCACCTGGGATTGAACTCAGGACGTTGTGCTTGCCAGGCAAGTGCTTATTCTACTGAGCTATCTCCCTGGACCCAAAAACCCTCTTTAAGTCAATCAAATAACTACCTATGGAACAAACGTTCTTAACATCCAATTTTGATGTAAAGTTAGAGAACGTTTATAAGTGTTCTTTAGCTTTAGATGAATCATACATTATTACTGAATAGATCAGTATGTTTTTTCTCAAATGACTTCCAAATTGATGAAAAAACAATTATCATTTCATGACCTAGAAAATCAAACTCCTGACCTCGATATCTTTCTTGTTTATTAATTTTATTGGTACATTTTTGATACACATGATGATGGCTTTCGTCATAGGGAACATGTACCTGTATGTGATAGATCTAGATTCTTTTCTTTCCCGTTCCCCTCCTGCCCTCATCTTTCTGTCTAAGAAACATTTCAGCAAAGTGTGATGTAGTTCCTGTCATGGAAGGTGATAATTTATACTTTTTCACTGATACTAGTTTGCACACAGATAAGCTAAATTTTGACCTCCAAGAATAAGTGCAATGCTTACTTGTGATCTTGCTAAGCAGACACGAGAATGCACCCAGAGTTTTTCCCAAGATGGATCAGTAATTTGTGCACACTTTTAATATGAAACATGGTTCAGGGTCAGCAGGATAGCTCAGTGGCCTAGGTGCCTGCTTTAGCAAGCACAGGGACCAGGGCCCATGCCAGACCGGCCCTTCACCTGAGCATCCTGACAGGGCAAATGAGTCCAGATGTGGTGGCACACACCTGTAATCCCAGTGCTGGAGAGGCTGAAAACAGGAGGATCACTACTAGTCGGAGACCCTGCACTAAATACATATAATGAGGGGGAAAAAAAGAACATGGTTCATCTTGAAAGGATTATTGCAAAACTTGAAAACCAACTGGAAGTTCTTGGACAATGTGAAGCATCTCAGGGTTTCGTAGTTCTAGTGTTTTCATAGTAACACTACGCGAGACTTCCCACGCTGCCGGTTTGGATGAACTCAGTGTGGAGACCTGTGAACTTTGGCTCTGTCGTCACTTCAGCAGGGCAGTGTCACCAAGAACAGAGACAGCAACTCTCCTTCCCTCAGAGACAAACAGACCTCACTGAGGAACCTGCAGCAAGGCTGTGAGCAAAGCACAGTACCCAGAGGGGCTCACCAGTGACGGCAGGCCTGCAGGAGCAGCGTGGGCTGTCCAGGTCAGCCACAGCTGGGCTCAGATACCACCCTGGTCACCAGCAGCATCCCCAAGGACAGCAGCGAGGTGTGGCTGACACCTCAGTTGGGCACTGCCCCTGGAGAGCTGCCCTAGCTGCCCTTGAGCTGCTTGGAGGTGCCTGTGCCTGTCCTATCCTGCCCAGGTTGCCATCGGCTGTCTCATGGCATGCCGACACGTGCACGCACTCCAGCTCCCCGGGCCCTGGCCCAGCCGACCCGCCAGCACCAGTAGCCATCTGTCCAATAGGCGCTGCGTTGCCCCCCTGCCCACCCCCATCCACTGCTGTGTGCGCCCCATGCCTCACCAGCCAGCCTGCTGGCACTGAGTAGGATGAAGGAAACAGAAGGCTACCATTAACCTATGCTCCATCTCCCGCTAAGGCAGATTACGAGCTGGGAGCGCAGGGATGGGTAGTACAAGAGAGGTGAGCCAGCACCTCTGCTGGGGAGGGTGCGAGGCCAGGCTGAGAGGGAGGGCAGGGCAGGGCACCTAGTAGCCAGCTGCTTAGGGAGCCTGCGCTTTGGAATTCCTGCCTAATGAACCCCTCCCACAGGCTCTTTTCCCACGTGGGAATCAGCAGACCTACTCTCTGGGTTGCACCATCCCAACTGGAATGCCAACTCAACCTGCTCACCATGCCTGCTCCACTGTTGTCCTCAGCTGCTCCTCACATGGGCAGCAGCCCACCGCCCTGGGCCGGCTTGCAGGCTCGGGCTGCCGAGAGGGGGCCAGGCCACGGGCTCCTGAGGGAGAGTGGAACTGAGCAGCCAGCCTTGCCCTGGGAGTGTGGCCACCTGGGGCCCAGGGCCTCACATAGGACCTCGATGTCAGCCACAGGGCCCAGGTCCTCAGACGACCTTGAACACAGAGCCACACAGAGGCAGGTGAGCCTGCGAGGTTGAGGGCACTACGGGACAGACTGGGCAAGAGTGATAGGAAGCCAAGGGAAACAAAACCCAAAGTGGCCACAAGATGGAGACACTGCTTAGTAGGACCAAAGTCTTCTGCTCTGGTTTTATCTGCTTTATTTCCTGTCAGTGTTTGTGTCTTTACCTCAGTTTCTCTCCATTCCTGTATGGTGGGGGTAGGTATGTTTCTTCTCCTCCCTTTGTATTTCTTGTACATTTTTCCTCCCTGTCCAGTAGTCTGCACTTGACAGGACAAAAGAAACACGTTAAATCTCAAATAGGTATTTCATTTTTATTTTGTTTAGTTACTTAATTTTAAATGCTTCTTTAATAAATGAATGTATTTCATTAAAAAAGAAGTAGGATATTTGTATTTTGTTGTCAAATTTTTACAGAGCTAAACTATTTTGATTTTGTACCCATCTCCTAAGGCAATTGCTCTGAATAAATTAACAACACAGGTGAAATGATATGTTCTTTTCTTCCTTTTGAAGAAAACCAATGTCTTGTCATATGACTTCACCTCTGGAGGTGGCCAGGGCTTTCCTGGTGAGGATGTCCCTCCTCAGGTAGCCCGTGCAGCCACTGTCCCTCCCCAGCTCCATACCACACAGCTGTGGCTTGTGCCCCTTCCCACCTCAACCTAACAGTCCCTTCTTCCTCTGGGATGAAAGTCCATGAGTTACATGCAGCCGGCGCCTGGAGTCCAGGCCTGGGTGATATGTTGGCTAAAAAGATCCAACAGGTTAGCCAGTTTCTCTTTCCTGTGGTCCATGGGAAGCCAGAGCCAGGAAGAACACAGCTGACGTTCAAAAGCTCCTGGCCTCGGACTCTTCAGCCAAGATGCAGGGGCTGTTATCTTGTCACAGATTACTGAGACAGAAACCACTGTAGAGACAGAGGACAAATAAACCTCTGTGCCCTTAGCCTGTCACTCACTGAAAGCGCGGCCTGTGTTTCCTTTTGCCAGTCAGGAGCTTGGGCCTGCGCGTTCCCAGTGGGCAATTAAGAGGAGCAAGAGCTTGGCCTACATTTTCTGTTTCCTTTATCCCCTGAGAACTTCAGGTTGAAGCCCTGCCCAGCTCCACACATAGGCCTGCTTATCACTTCACGAGTGTCTAAACGTTGGAAATACAAGATTGATGAGCTTTAAATTTACCCATGTCACTCCCTTGGTGTCTGAGGACCTCAAGGTAAGAGATGCCTGGGCCCATTCAAGTCCTGGGGAGCACCTGACAGGCTCCAGTGTCTCCCCGAACCTGTGGGCGCTGTGGATCCAGCAGAGGCTGGTAGACTGCCACTGCCCAGGTTGACACAGTCACCTGGTGGGGGTGGGGGTGGGGGCATGAAGCGCCGGGGACGCCCACAGAGGCCATCGTGACCAAGCTTGTACCCTCCTGAGGAGGTCCCACTCCTTTGTGCTGTGCAAGGCTGCTCCCTCCCTCAGAGCTCCACCCCCCGGGCCCCCCAAGCTGAAGTCACTTCCCTATTTTCTCTCACTTTCTAACTGCCTAATAAATCAGCCTAAACCTCCCACCGACACGTCCTGAAACCCGTTTCCTGTGGCAAGGGTCGGAATCTTTCTGAGTGAGCACATCTCCTTGGGGCCTCTCTGCATTCTTGTGGTGACATGTCCACTCCCAAGACATGGCAGTAGCTGCCACACAGTGCAGGGCTCCGGCGCTCTCTGAAATTCGGAGAGCATGGGCTCTGCCCCTCGGAGGCGCAGAAGAGGGGGCTTGTGGGGGGTAGGAGGTCGGTGAGCCCAGGAGATGTGGGTGTGGAATGAAAGGAAGCGGGGAGACAGGGCACCTAGGCATAGTGGAGGTGAGAAGCGAGGGCCCCAAGGCAGCCTGGGCCCACTCCCGAGGGTTCGCTGCGTATCTGACACCATGCCAACCTCTGCAGTGCTTTGCTGTGGGCAGAACTGGTCCCTCCAAAATGTTCACCTGAACCTCTAACCCCAGGGTCTCACCCTCAGATAGAGGCTAGAGATAGGGTCTCTACAGAAGCAACTGTTAAAATGGGTCACTTTTATCATGCTCTAATCCAATATGGTGCTAGCCCTTATAAAAAGTGATTAGTATATAAATACAGAAATCTATGAAAGGACATTCTTGCTCTTTACTACTCCAGGGGTTTTGATCTAGAAAACCCTTCCCAAGTGTGCTGAGCATAGAGGTGGAGCTTGTGTGGCGCCACTAGCCCCTGGGGCACTGTGCTGTGCAGTGGCTGACTTCTGGGCCTGCGAGGGGAGGTGGGTGGGTGGGCGGGCAGGTGTCTTGCGAAGGTGGGCAGGGCTCCCTGCCTGGCTCCCTCCCCTCTCCGCTTCCTGGCTGCCAACGGCGAGCAGCTCTACTCTGTCATGCTCTCTTGCCATAATGTGCTGCCTTGGGGCCAGCTGACCAGGGACTAAACCTCCTGCTTCATGATCAAATTAACCGCTTACCAGCCGACCCTGAGAGTCACGCAGGCAGTGCATCTGCTCATGTCCTGCCTCTCCCCCGCGTCACTGGGGCAGGTGTCATTCCAACCAGTCGAGTCTTGTTCACCTGACAAACACTCATACATCTGTTTCTGTTGACTACTTTTTGCTTTTTGTTTTTAAATTTAGAATATTGCATTCACTTGTGATGTTTGTTTTTAGTGAAAGCTAATAAGTTCTGGTATGATTGTGTGCTACAATCTATGAAAACTCTTTTTCAAATTTATTATTATTATTATTACTGATACAGGGTCTTGCTATGCAGTTCAGACTCATAGTGATCCTCCTGTCTCTGCCTCCCTAGTGTTGGGGTTCCAGGCATGCACCACCAGCCCAGTTCCAGGGCTCGAACTTGGGACCTTGCGCTTGCCAGGCAGGTACTTATGCTGCTGAGCTATATCTCCAGCCCTATAATAAAAATTCTTACGTAAAAAACCAAAAAAACCTCTTATGTAAATGCATTATGTGGAATTTTTATACTTCTCCAAAGTTCAGTGGTGCTCCTTTACACAATAAAGAAGACACACTTGAGACGCTGAGGCCGAGCAGGAAGGAAAAACCAAACATCTGTGATACAAAAAACTGAAGAAGGGAGAAATGTGGGCCCATCAGGCAGGAAATGCAGAGCTATGAAATGGAAAGACAGAAGTGACATTGCGAAGGAAGAGATGAGACTAAAACAACTCCAGCAGCGGTCAGAGATTATGGTAATTCCGTGTGTGGTCCTGACAGAGTTGGACCACCTTTCGTTAGAGCGCTTGCAAAATTCCTCCCAAATACGTGGATTCCGCGATAATGTGAACAGAGTCCTCCAGTAAATCCACACCCATTGTTATGGTGAAAGGGCGCTTTGGTAAGCGCGCTTTAGGCCTGGGGTGAGAAAAGGACGCTGGATTATCCAAGTGGGCCCAGTATAGTCCCAAGGTCCCATAAGAGGCCTGAGGGAGGAGTCGCGTCAAGGAAGGGGCACGAGTCTCTGTAGTGACCAGCCCAGCAGACCCCGATTTTAGCTCTGTGGAATTCGCTTCAGACTCTGTCCCTCACAACCATGAAGGAAGATATTTGTGTACTTTTTGAGAGACCGATTTGGTAATAATTTGTTACGGAAGCAACAGAAAATTCACACAGGCTATAAAAACACTCATGCGCTCACATTCCGCAGTCTCGCACCTCATCCACGGGAAGCTCGGTTCTTTACCGACAGATGGATTGGATTTAAATCTCTTTTCTGCTGCCCACTAGCAACACAGTTTAATCTCTCTGTGCCTCCATTTCCTTGGCTGTAAAAGGAGGTGAAAACGGTGTGCATGTAGTTTTGCAAGTGAGTTCATAGGAAGTGCTTCAGACAGTGCTGCACAAGTGAGCCCCGGTGTTAGGACATCTTTATCTCTATTGAAATCAACTCTCTTCTCATGGGTGAAAGAGAGCTCATTCTCGCCCATCAATAAGCAGAAAAGCACTGGACCCCACATGCCACTTCCTGGATTAGATGTGAACACACAACAAATGACAACATTGTGTAAAATCACGAAAATGTCTTAAAATGTACATTTTTAGTGTGTTTGGTACGGGGTCTCACTACACAGCTTGGACTTGTGGTGATCTTCTATTTTCAGTCTCCCCAGCACTGGGATTACAGGCACTCACCCCCACGCCTGGACTCAAGGGCCAGCTCAGCGCACCCAAGGGTGGAGCTGGAGCAGCATGCGGTACTGAGGCTCAAACCCCGGTCCCTGTGCTTGCCTAAGCAGGGCCTTAGTCCACCGAGCTATCTCACTGGCCCATTAAGATGTATGGTTTTTTTTTTGTTGTTGTTGCTGTTTTGTTTCATTTTTTGGTAACATTGCTATTAAAGAATGAGACTGGTTTTTATTTCCTTGTGCCAACTGAGGTAAGAGATTTGAAATTAGATGTTGCCATAGGTGTGCCGATTCTACTCAGGAAACACCAGCCGAAAGACTCAAGCACGTCTGCTCTGTGGAGAAGCTGGGCTGGGAGACAGCCTCTCAGGTGGCAAAGGGCAGTGAAACTCCGCTGGTTGGGCTCTGCTCCTCTCCTTGAGCTGAAGATGACTCCGTCAGAACCACCTGCAGGAGTTGCCCGTGGCCTGCCTGTGTCAGCGGGTTAGCACAGAAGCGCTGGGCTTTAGCTGGGATAGGGGAGTTGAGGTCACAATATGCAGTGAGTGTAAAATTCCTTTTAGAATTCATTACAGTAAAAGAAAACTTGCTTTTGACTCGCCTCAAAATGCACCCCTCATCGAACACGCGCTGTTCTTGGCTATGGCTTGACTGTAAGAAGTTCTTTGCAACTGAAGCATCCCCATATCACTCAGCCACCCTCACAGCTCGGAGGCAGCTTCAAGGCCTCACTTTCTCAGGATGAGCCTGAGCCCCTCTCTGGGGCAGAGGGCACCCACACAGTCAGCAGGAGCAGGACACACGTGTAGTGAAATGGCCCCAGATTCACCCCGGGAGCACGTTCTGCCCGGGCAGAAAAGAGAACCTGGAATGGACCGCGTGGAGGCCTGGCCTGGGGCCAGAAACAGCCCTGGCTTTACCAACCTTCGAGTTATAGAAATAATGACAAGGACAGTCTTTTCTTCTATACAGTTTTAAGAGATATGCTGTAACCTTTAGGAGATAAACTGAATTTGGAAAATCAAGAGATTCTCCAAGGCTCTTTCTCTCCTGCACCACCCTCAGCCTCTTTCCAGGCATCATGGGGAGGGCGGGAAACACAGCCAGAGCCACGTGTGTGCACACAGTGGTTCTCGGGGGTCCCTTTACTTGCATCTTGGGGCTCAGAACTACCTCAAGGGCCTTCTTCTTGAATCCTACTGGCCATTCGTTCTTGGAAGCACAGGAATCCACGGTACATGGCACAAATCTACGCGCGCGTTCTGAGGTGGCCGAGAGGGAGGTGCTTAGCTGTACCTGAGCCTTTATAAACTGAGGAAAAGGACCCTTCGGAGCTGTGAATTGTTCATTCAGAATCATCCCCTTGACCATGGGGGCCAAGGGGTGGCTGAGGACGCGGGCTGTGACAAGGGTGGGATCCAGAGATACCTTTGCCAGCCTCCTCGGCCATGTGCACCTAGGGCTGACGAGCGAGCACTAGGAAGAGGGGACTTTCTAAATTAGCCACAGATGGGAAATTACACCCATGTGTATGGAAATGCCTATTTTTTAATCCTGGCATTTTAGGTAAATGCTGAGGGGAAGGGAACTATCCAAGGGCTCCGACACGTTCAGGTTTGTAGATGTGTGGCTTTCCTGTGCCCGGACCATCAAAGCAAGACTTTTAGCAGGAAGAGACTAGCCAGCATGGCTGAGGTGATGGGTGTCAGGGCCGGGCTCCCGCTGCTGGTAGCCTTGCACTTCGTACGGATCTTGACAGCACCCATCACAGTCATATCCAAGTTGCAGGCAGATTCAGTCGCACAGCCCATGCCAAATAGCTCTCGGGAGCGGGCGCTGCTGTCTGTGCCTGCCAGCAGGAAGGTCGGGTCAGCCTTGGCTCTGGCCTCCTCTGTCCCACCCCCACCCTGCTTTCCTCAGGGCGCAGAACCGCCCCAGGTGCCCAGGCCCATGGCTCAGCCTTCCCATGAGAACGCGAGCACACAACAGCTGCACCCAGGGACACAGTCTCGTTGTCCTCCAGCTGCACTGTCTGCCCAGCGTGCCAGTGACACCAGGGGACCCCGATGGCCCAGGTCTGAAGGAGACTGCAGCCTCTGGGGGCTCTTTAGAAGAGACGTCAGCGCAGGCTGGAAATGGATGGAAGGTTGGGCCTTATGTGTGGGTCAGAGGACTTCTGGGCTCCCTGTCCTCTCCTGTCCTCTCCTCTTCTGTCCTCTCCTCTCCTGTCCTCTACTCTTCTGTCCTCTCCTGTCCTCTCCTGTCCTCTCCTGTCCT